ATTTCCAGATAAGCAAAAATTAAGGGAATTTGTTAAAACCAGACTCACCTTATAAGAGATGCAAAAGGGAGTCCTTTGGATAGAGAACCAACAACATTAAACAAAAAGTGACCATTAACATACATGATGACATAAACCAGAAAGCAACCCAGTTATAGAAGTATCCACAGTAAATAAGTCTACAAGGTTGTAAACAGGGAACCAGAGACATCAATTGACAAATGAGGACAACTACAAACCAAAAAGAGAGAAAATACTGTGTAGTTACAGAACTTCTAAATGGTAAGGAAGTCAAGACAACTACAAGATAGAACACACTGTCCTAATCTTGGGAAGAAAACTATAAATCACATGGCAACCGCAAAGAAAAATGATAAACCTTGACATCAAAATAAAAAAGAGGACCAGCACAAATATTTAGCAAATGCTAAAACAATAGCAAGGAAGAAAGTGGTAACACGATTCATAAAGAAAACAAGTTCAGCACAGAAAATTATATGGAACAAAGAAATAAATCAACACCACAAAAAAGCACATAACAAAAATGACAGCAACAAATTCATACTTGTTAATAATTATGCATCTGGCAAGGGACTTATCTCTAAGATTTATAGAAAACTCCAATGCCTCAAAAGCAAAGGAATTAAAAATCCAATTGAAAAATGGGCAGAAGACATAAATAGACACTTCACCAAGAGGGATATTCAGATGGCCAGCAAATACATGAAGAGATACTCACGATCACTGGCCATCAGGGAGATGTAAACCAAAACAACAATGAGATACCATCTCAGCCCAGCACTGATGGCAAGGTTCAATGAGACAGAAAAGAACAAATGCTGGTGGGGACGTGGAGAGATTCTGACTCTCATACACTGCTGGTGGGACTGTGAAATGACATGACCACAGTGGAAAGCTGTATGGAGATTCCTTAGAAAGCTGGAATTGGAGATACTATTTGACTCAGCCATCCCATTACTAGGTATATATTCTAGAGAGGTGAGAGACAGGACAAGAACAGATATATGCACACTCATGGTCTTTGCAGCACTATTTACAATAGCAAAACATGGGAACAACCTATGTGCCCATCAGTGGAAGAGTGGATGACCAAACTATGGTACGTACACACAATGGAATGGCTTGCAGCACTAAAGAATAATGTAGAGTCTGCAAAATAAAGCACAACATGGATGAACTTGGAGGACATTATGCTGAGTGAAATAAGTCAGTCACGGAAGGACAAATATAGTATTAGTTCATTGTTGTGGAGGGTCAAGGAAAGGTTTATATATGGAGGGAAACTTTCTTTGTTGGTTGCAGGGGTTGAAGGGGAAGAGAGGGAACAAAAAAAAAATTGCATTGACCATTGACCCAGGTCACTTTAGTTTTGTGTATTTCACTGTACATAAATTATATTTCAATAAAATGCATTAAAAATGTAAAAATAAAAAACAAACTAACAAAAAAAAGTGAAGGCAGAGTGCTCCTTGCAAGTGAGAATGACCAGACTTCGTGTTACCTACTTTGGTCATGTTGTCAGAATGGACTATTCCCTGGGGAAGAATATTATGCGTGATAAAATGGAGGGTCAGTGAAAAGGGAGAAGACCCTCAATGAGATGGACTGACACGGTGGTCGCAACAATGGGCTCAGGTATAGCAAGGATTTTGTGAGGATGGCACATGACCAGGCAGTGTTTTGTTCTATTTTGCAGAGTCACTATGGGTCAGAGATGACTCAACGGTACCTAACAACAGCAACAAGAACAAGTCAGTTGTGAAAAGTAATTGTTAAGGGTAAGTAGAATAAAGTGATGGGAAAGGGAGGCTTTTTTTTTTTTTTCTACAGTGTTATAGGTACAACCTTCTTGATTAAGGTAACATACGAGCAGAAACTTAAAGGAAGTGAGACAGTAAACACTGCTATCTAGAGAAAGAAGAAGCTCAGGTCATGCTGTGGGTAAGGCATTGGGCTGCTAACTAAAACTTCAGCAGTTGGAACCCGCTAGCCCTTTCGTGGGAGAAACATGAGGCAGTACACTTCTGTAAAGATTTACAGCCTTGGAAACCCAATGGGGGTCGCTATGAGTCAGAATTGACTCGGTAATAGTGTGTTTTATCTAGAAAAAGAACATTCTAGCAGAAGGAAAAGCAACTGAAAAGATCCTGAAGAAAGAGCATATTTGACACTACAGAATGAAACTTGGAGATAAACTCTAGAGTTAATGGCAGCTGAGATGTTGGGGGCACAGATAATGTAAAATCTTGTGGGCCATAGTAAGGTCTCTGGATCTCATAAAGTCACTGGAAATACTGTGCAGAGAAGTGACTTCTGTATTTAAAGTATTACTCTAGCTATTCAGTTAGGTAGCTATTTCAATAATCCAGGTGAGAGGTGATGGCAGCTATGAAGATTTTATTGTCATTTCCTCCAGCCTTTGCCTGTGCATTTGCGTTTATATAAAGTTAACCCAATTGAAACCAAAGATGTGTTAACCCAATTGAAACCAAAGTCTAGTACCCTGCTGTTTCACATAAACAATTTCTCATATATGAGAAATTAAAAATTCTCATAAAAGGTAGCAATTGTGTATGCTGCAAACATCCTCCTTAGTTTCTGGTGTGCCTGTATATTTAAGTGTGGTATGACAGAAAAAAAAAGCTTTGCATTAAACAGTTGAGAAAATAATAACCTACATGTTTAAAAAGTAGGGAATATTTAAATAAATTGCATATCTATATGATAGAATGCTATTAAAAATAACACAAAATATTTTTTGAACATATGGGATAGTGTTTATATAATGCGAAGTACGTAAAAACGAAGAAAAGACTAAATACAGTGTTCTCAACTATGTAAAATGTATTATGAAGACTGGAAGGAAATGTATAAAAGATATTATCTCTAGGTGGTTTGATTGTGGGTGGTTTTCTTTTGTACTCTGCATTCTTCACATTTTTTACAATGAACTAGAATTAATTTTGTAATTAAAAAATAATTTTGTATCTGGAAACATTAAGGAACACATGGAATTGAAAGAGAGGGGTTCTCATGCCTGATTTGACAATAACCAGCTGTTTCCTGGAGCAATTTCTCTCTTAGGTAGTCTTTCCTCACTTCTAAAAATAGAGTAATACTACTGTCCTCACAGAATGACTACGAAGATTATACGCATGAGTGTACACAGCACAGTAACTAACATATTTAATGTTTGATAAATTTTTAAACAAATATCCAGATCTGACATTCTGAGAATTATTTCCAGGAAAATGCAAAGTCTCATCATGAAAACCCAATTCAAATTAATGTGGAAAATGTTATTCATTCTTTCACCCCTGCTCACTTTTGTCCACAATCCAATTCAATCTGGAGAAAAACACTTCTAAAATTAATGTGAAAGAAATCTGATTAGCTGCCTTTCTATATTAGCATATCTGCCTGCCTAAAGTCATACCTAATATTGGAAAGAAATGCTCAACTCTTGCTTTAAAACTCTCTTCCTAAAGCTGAATGTAAATTCTAGAGAAGTCCCAAGCCTCCTTTAGTTCGAGGAGAAGTTAAATGAAAGTAATCAAATCACATTGTTTCCTACAGCTGATGAGAGTCTGGAGGTTAGTATGCAGTACTAATTCAGTTTTGTCTTTAACACATAACTAAAAATTGACTATAGATAGAGAGGAGCCGTGGTGGCACAGTGGTTAAATGCTCGCCTCATAACCAAAAGTTGGCAGTTTGAATCCACCAGTCATTCCATGGGAGAAAGATGTGGCAGTCTCTTCTGTAAAGATTTACAGCCTTGGAAACCCTACAGGGCAGTTCTACTCTGCCCTACAGGGTCTCTATGAGCCAGAATCGACTTGATGGCAAAGGGTATAGTTACAGACAGAGAAGACAGCACTTTTAAGGTAATAAATACCCAAAATTTCAGTAGCAGCCATGGGTTCAAGGTGATCCATAGACTGTAGACCTTGAAGACAAGAAGAATCTAAAACAACTTTATTTGCTTGCACTAAAGGAATCCCAAACTCCTTATCTGTACACATTTTTCCCCATGATTACGAAGTTTAGATTTTGATGAATGTGACAGGTAGGAAAATTGTGAATATCAGTCTGTTGTCCCAACTACATCACTTCTATCCATATCCTTTATTTAGCCAGCCCCTTAATATAAGGTAAACATCCTCATATTTCATACCTTAAAAATAAAATTAACAAGGCTATATAAAAATTGAATTACTTTTCTAAGCAGCTTCATATGAATGGAAAACTGAGCTTTTACAATTAAAATACTAACTTAGGAAATACAACTATAGTCGCCACTAGTTTCATGACTAAAAATCCAAATTTAGAGAATAAATTATGAAATAATTATTTGTATCATGGGAGCTCTGGTAGCATAGTGCCTAAGGCATTTAACTGCTAACCAGGAGGTTCAAACCTCCAGCCACTCCTCAGAAGGAAATTTGGGCAATCTACTTCTGTAGTGATATTGCCTCGAAAACCCGGGGGGGGGGGGTTGCTACAAGTCGGATCCTACTCCACGGTAGTGAGTTTGATTTGGTTTGGTTTTATTTGTATCACACAACGTGTCTCTGCCTTATTGAAGATTTTACTAAGTTTTCTATAAGGTGACAACTTCACACCTGAATTTAAGTATTAAAATCTTGCTTCCTAGAGGCAGAGTTTTAGAATCAAAGTCTATTGAACCCTATTCTTCTCCTCTGGACAGATAGTAGAGATACAATTAATGCAATCATAACCAGTTGCTGATGCATTGATTTGTGTCATAGAAGAACTGTGCTCCGTAGGGTTTTTAATGGCTGATTTCAGGGTAGATTGCCAGGCCTTTCCTGGGATGTGCTTCTGAGTGGATGCAAATGGCTAATCTTTCAATCAGCAGCTGAGTGCATTAGCCATTTATTTGTACCAGAAACAAACACAGTCATAGATCTCTATTAATTTAGTAGCAACAAATGAAAATAATGATAGAGTGGTTTGGCATATATAATCTTGTTCAATTCTAAATAATCCTGTCAGATCATGATAAGAGATATTTTTGTTCTCATTTTATAAGTGAGAAAATAAGGTTCACAGAAGTTCAATTACTTTCCAAATGTCACTATACTAATAAATGCCAGAGCAATAGTCTGAACATAGGCCTTTTCATTCTAGATCCAGTCATCTCTTCTGTGCCATATTTTCTCTCAAGATGTTTTTGTTGTTAGCTGCTCTCACTGGGCCCCTGAGTCACGGTGACCCCATGCACAACAGAACCAAATATACCAGGGCCTGTGCCATCCCCATGGCTGGCTGCAGATGGGCCCTTGTGATCCATGGGGTTTTCACTGGCTGATTTTCAGAACTAGATTGCCAGTCCTTCCTTACCAGCCTGTCTTAGTCTGGAACCTCAGTTATGTAAATGTGAGGTTTAGAGACAGACATCCACTAATCTCAATAACTGCACCAAGATTTATAAAAGCATTGCTTCTTTTCAATATATGTTATCAGAAGTGACTTTGAAAAACTGAGTCTGGGGTTGACAGACAATGGTCCTGTAAGTGTATTTGTATGATATGAATTCCCAGATGTATAGTAGAGCTGACAAGGGGCAAGGTGGTAGTCACTTCTTGGTCACAGCCAGCTACCCAGAGGGACTGAGCAGTTGAACCTATGGGCTCAGGACCATAGTCACAGGGGACATCAAGTTCAATTGGCATAGCATACTACACAAAACTGTTCCACCTCCTACTTTGGTGACTAGCAACTGGGATCTTAAAAGCTAGCAAGCTGCCATCTAGATGCAACGATGGGTCTCTCCTCATCCAGAGCAAAGAAGAATGAAGAAAACCAAAAATTCATAGAAACAATTAGTCCTAGCGACTGGTACACCATGTGATTCGCAGCCTATACAACTATGAGACCAGAAGAACTAGATGGTGCTCGGCTACCACTATCAACCACTCGGAGGGGGATCTATGTAGGAGATCCTGGGTAGAGAGGGAGAACAATGTGGTACAAAACTCAAAATCATTTGGAAAACAAAAAGGGGGGACGAGGTTTGCTGGTCTGATAGAGCCTGGTGGAACCACTGAGACTATGGCCCCTAGCTGCCCTTCAGGTCTGGAATTGAACCCACACCTGTGGCTTCCAGCCAAGCAAAAGACAGGCATGGGAGTTCAACATTTACCTGAGGTAAATACACTCCTTGGAGAGAGCAATCATGGGAGAAAGAAGGGCTGTTTATGCACAGGGAGACAGCTCAGGGGGCGGGGTGCAAGGAGCAATGGACACAGGGAAGAGAAAACTATCGGGAGGAAGTGGGAGGGGAGCTGTTGCATTGTGGTGAATTGTGGTCAATGTCATGAGACAAAGTGTATGTGAACTGCTGTATGGAAAGTGAATTTGCTCTTAAATTTTCACCCAAATCACAATAAAATAATAATAATAAATAAATAAATAAAGCTGAATCTGACCCTAACAGGACCAAGATGATTCACTAGGAAATTATTTTCACATTTTACATTAGGAAACAGAGTTAGGTAATCTTTACTTGCACTGTGCTAGCAACTTCAATATATCCAGAGATAACTAAATGAAATAAATAATCTGTCTTTATAACAAAGTATAAATGGAATCAGAGTCCCTGTGTGGTATAAATACTTAATGCACTCAGCTGCTAACAGAAAGGCTGGTGGTTTGAGTCCACTCAGAAGCAACCTGCATCTGAGAAATCAGCTGCAAACCCTACGATGACACACCTGGGGTCACCATGAGTGGGAGTTGATTCGACAACAACTGGTTATAAATGGAATCACCATTTGGTAAGCACCTCTGCAGAATGCTAGCATGATGGGAAGAGAACTGAAGCAAGAGCTGAAGAGATCTTACCAGAGACTAATCTTGGGAAAGGAGTCTCTGGATAGTACAGACGGTTAACGTACTCAGCTGCTAACCAAAACATTGGCAGTTCGAGACAACCCAGGGGCACCCCAAAGGAAAGACCTGGTGACTTACTTCTTACAAATTGACCACTGAAACCCTGTGGAGAACTTCAGTTCTGACACACATGGGGTTGCCATGAGTCGGAACCGACTCAATGGCAACTAGTCTATCTTGGGTTAGTCACTTAAACATTTTGTGCTTCACCTGCAAAAGAAGATACTGACCTACAGTATTCCTGTGAGGATTAAGTAAAAATATATACGGCAATACCTACGAAAGTCAGAACCTGTGTAAGGTGAACATAGATCTTTTCATTCTGTCAGAGAAGGAAAACTCAAATATTTTCCATTAAATAGAGAGCAACAGGAAAGTGGTGACTGTACCCCGTCAAAGGCAGAAAACTTGTGAGACCAAGAAAAACAAGGCAGTCCTATAGAGTTCCAGCACTCACAGGTTTCATGGTGTGATGGTTATTTGTAAGACATCTAACACTTCATAACCCATTTCCATAGAGTCGATTCTGCCTCACTGCAACTCCCACTGGGTTTCCAAGGCTGTAAATCTTTATGGAAGCAGATTACCTCATCTTCCTCCCATGGAGCAGCTGGTAGGTTTTAAACCACTGACCCTGTGGTTAGCCTTACCCAGTAAGCCACCAGAGCTCCTTGAGCGCTTTATAAATGTAAGGCAATGATTTGTTTATGGTTCTCTCTGATGGAGGTATCACTGTTCAATACAGTTAAGTTCATTCTAGAAGTGTTATAGAAATGTTCCTAAAAAATACCTTAATCAAAGAAAGCAAATTTTGAATAATCCTTTAAATAATCAATCCCACTTAATACTTGTAAATTAAAATTTTTACAATTAAAAAATGACTATATAATACCAAATTTACTTTTCACAAGCCATACACACATAGTCTTGCTATACACAATATAGTCTTGCTATATTGTCATCCAAAGTATATCTTTACAGGCAATACACTGTCCCTTTTATCCAATATGGAATGTTCCAACAGTTTAAGAAATAATTTAAGATTTACATATAAAAAGTATTAAAATATTTACTGACTCTAGTGGTGTTGATAATGTTATCTAAAATACAATGAATCATATATACCTAACACAAATTCTAACCAGAAGGCTGGTGGGTCAAACCTACCACCCACTCCTTGGAAGGAAGATGGGGCAATCTACGTCCGTAGTGATACTGCCTCAGAAACCCAAGGAGGGGTCACTATGAGTCAGGTCTGACTTGATGACACGTAACAACAACAACAACAACACAAATTATAATGAAAAGAATTTAAGCTTCTTTGAATTATTAATGAAGCTCTTCAAGAGCTTGTTTTGTTCTCAGAGACAATGTAATAATTTATTGTGCAGAATTTAAAAAGTAATTCCACTATCTGAGCATAGTGGTTAGATACTTATTATATAAATGCATTTAATATAAGTCAAATGAATATACATATACATAATCATTATTTTTCATATTGTTTCTATTAATTTGGATAGAATTTATCAACCTAAAGTTTTCTCCTGCACTTAAAATAAGACCTAATAACATGTTTAGGATAAATTTTTATATCTTTTAAAGAAAACTTCTGAAAAGAATGTATAATTATATAAAATATACTTATCTTGCCAAATTTTATTCTCTGATCTTCAATTTTTATGTTTCATTCCTCCATAGTTTACACCCTTAATTGTTCTTATACTCAAGATCCCTATAAAATTTATTTAAAAATATATTTCAGTATCTATTCTGTTAATTCACACTCTCACACTATTTCCTTCCTCATCTTCCAATTGCTAATCAGTTTCTTTTTCTTTAGTTTGCCTCATCATCTTTTTAAAGAAATCATTAATAAAGAATAAATTTCCTTTAATGCACTTTAACAATGAAACAGGAGAAATATGTTGTCAAATTGTTCAGTAAAATTGATTACTTTTCCTAATAATACTCTTTCCTATTGGCTAAATTCAAACAGCCATTATAAATCATGAAAAAAATAAAGAGAGCCAAAGTTGAAAACTGAAGTATAGATTTCTCACTTATAATTCACAAAATGCTCTGATCAAAAAAGACAATTTCTGAGACCAATTACTTACAACAAACTAACCAACCAAACAGTGCCATCGAGTCAGATCTGACTCATTGCGGGTGACCCCTCCTTGGGTTTCCAAGGCAGTATCACTAGGAAGTAGATTGCCCAGCCTTGTTTCCGAGGAGTGGCTGAGGGGTTTGAACCACCAGCCTTATGGTTAGCAGTCAAATGCCTTAGGCACTGTATCACCAGAGCTCCCAGATGATATTTATGTCCTGTATATATTTACTTCAACATCATATTTATAAACATCCATATTATGCTTTTAATAGTGACATACATACCAGTTAAATATTGAATCCAAAGCTTCACAGAAAAAATTAAGAAAAAAAGCATTATGAAAAATTTCTAGTTATGATCTAACGTAGAAAACATTTCCAACAGTGCATTTTAAATTTAAAAAAGACCTTTCAAGTTAGAAAAGAAGGAATTACCAAGAAGTTCCTGGTGATTTCCTGAATTCTTCATTTGTAATTTTACCAAACTTCTTAATGTTCATATTAAGCCTCTGAAAATGTATGAGTCCAAACTGACTTGATGGCACCTAAAACAACAAATAAAGGATAGAATAGAAACACATGAAAGCGGACACCAAATAGAATGATTAAGCTAGATGAAAAAGTCCTTCATGAATTGCTGAGAGCTACACAAATGATATCACTAATTTATTTGAAAAGAATGTGTCATTGAGGTTAGACTCAGAATGAGAACTGGTTTATGAAAAATAGTTGGGACAATGAAAAAGACTTTTTAGATATGTATGTTGTTGTTGTTATGTGCTGTCAAATCAGACCCGACTCATAACGACCCCTCCTTGGGTTTCCAAGGCAGTATCACTACGGAAGTAGGATTGCCCAACCTTCCTTCCGAGGAGTGGCTGGTGGGTTTGAACCGCCAGCCTTCTGGTTAGCAGTCAAGTGCCTTAGGCACTATGCCACCAGAGCTCCCTAGATATGTATAGAAAAGAATATATGAAAGAGGTCCATTTGTTACAAATGATAGAGAACTCTTTGGAAGATGATAGCGACCAAACAGTACAGATCAACTCTGACTTAGTTTTTTTTTTTTTTTTAATTTTCCATTTAAAAAAATCATATTGGAAAAGGTAAAATATGTAAAATTGATACTGTGGATACAATTCAGACATATATAGAATCTTTAATTTTTTAAATTAAATGTCTCCAGGTAATTTCCAGAACATACTGACATGAAGTATATGTGATAATAAAACACTAACAGCTCAGCTTGATCTTCCCATCTTCAGGAGCAGAGTTTTATGTAAACCCCAGCTCTTCCCAGAGGAAATCCATCAATGGTATAATCTAGAAACATTGTGGGTTTCATGTATATGAGCACCTGGGTTCACTGAGTCAATTCCTAACTGAGAAGGCTATTCCAAGTTTCTTGGAAACTTCCATGGCTGAGGTCTGAAGAGAAGTCTCAATTGCTCAGAGCTGGGGGTATGAGCATAGAGGTACTTAAAAGTACTCTGAAGAAGCTGGACAACATTAAGAAAATGAGGGCAAGAAGCTGAAATGTGTTCTTCCTCTACCAGTGGTTAAAATCTTGCCCCAAAGTCAAATACTATGTGGTGTTGTACATTACTCTGCAATTAAATTAAACTAAGGTCAGCATGAACCCAGCCTTGGGGTAGAAAATGGTCCTCAATGCTGTATTCCTCCCATTAGCCCCGATCTTATATGTCTCCTCCTATCCTGGGCTGATCCCATTTCTATCTCATTCCATCAATGACTCCCTCTCTACTAGACCTTCATTTATTCTTCTGTATGCCTTTTTGCTATTATGTAAACATCTCTGTTTGCTTTTTTTTTTTTTAATAAATAAAAGTTTTTACTTGGCTTCATATCCCACTTAGTACACTCTAGGCTCATCTCATTATACTCCATATATACACTCTTCTGTCTTTCCTCATAAACTTCCCAACCCAGTACAGCCAGATGTTTGCTTATTCTACTGCACTGAAAGTGCTCCTGGTAATGTCAACAGTGAACTCTAAACTACCAAAACTAAAGAATATTCTGCAATCCTTGTCTTTCTCTCTCCTAAGCAATTGAAACTAACCTTCCCTCATTGTAATGATAATTTCCCTTGGCTTCTGAGATTACTGTATCTTGTTCTCTCTACCTCCACAGTATTTCTTTAATTGCCTCTTCTTGGTAATCATTATGGATTCATCCTATTCCTTAAAATATTGGTGTTGTCTAGCATTATTAGCGTTGTTTTTCTCCTTCTCAATGTGCTCTTTGAATAACCTATCTAACCCTAAGGCTTCACCTACACAAACTGTTGTTTCAGAATCTGAATTTTTGGCTCTGTCTGCTACCTTAAGCCACTGATGTGTTTTAAAGCAGAACTGCTCCATTGGGTTTTCTTGTCACTATGAGTCGGGGCGGACTTCATGGCACATAACAACAACAACAATCTTTACAGAAGCAGGTCGCCAGCTTTTTTTCCATGATGCCACTAGCTAGGTTCAGACTAGCACCCTTTAGGTTAGTAGTCAGCACAAACCCTGTGTGCTACCCAGAGACCTCCTAAGCCACAGACACATATGGCCTGCTAAACATATAAATGGGGATGATACTTAGGCACCTGGGAGTGGGGCAAAATAGAAGAACAGTATAAACTGGCACCATCCACCTTTTAGTTAGTAGCAGGCCCAATGCTAGGAGCTCTGGTAGCATAGTGCCTAAGGCACCTGACTGCTAACCAGAAGGCTGGCGGTTCAAACCCACCAGCCACTCCTCGGAAGGAAGGTTGGGCAATCTACTTCAGTAGTGATACTGCGTTGGCAACCCAAGGAGGGGTCACTATGAGTCGGGGCTACTCGATGGCACACAACAACAGGCCAGTGTTTGGCCAGAGTCCCATCAGGCCTCTGCCAGGGCAGGGAACGAGGTAAATAGGATGGTGGACAGAGAGGATAGCTGTAAACATAACCTTTCCTTTCTTTAAATAAAGATATACAGCAAAGCTTCAAATCACCTGGGGATTTTGTTAAAATGCCAATTCTGATTCAATAGGATTGGGGCGGGGGGAGTTGAGCTGGGGCTTAGAATCTGCATTGCTAATAAACTTCCAGCTCCCAGGTGATGCTAACACAGGTTGTCCAGACTTAGAACAGGGTTCTGTTCCTAAGACTCTGCTGTAAGTAGGTCCTGACGTAAGTCGAATACCTAATTATTTTTTTCAGTTTTCATGATAATTACCTTTTATTATCAGTATCTTTATCAATCTAGCAGTGTTTTGAAAAGTAAATCATAAAATTGAACATCTGCAAGTGAACACCTGAAAATAATAATAGCAGTAAACTATGTGCTGTGATATATCACTAATGATAAGATGTACAAAAACAAAAACAAAAGATGGCTGTAAGTGCATCATAAATTGAGGCCCACACTTCAGATCCTTGCATCTAAACAAAATTTGGCTAAGTTTATTATATGTGGGTGGTGAGTATAAAAATGTCTATTATTTTCTGTATGTTTGAAATAGTTTATAATTAAAAACAAAAATAAATTTCAGAATTGCCAGTAGCCTCCAGAAGGTACTACCACGCCGTAGTTCTTTCTCTTACTGTATACACAATGGAGAAATTGCTTGACTGTTCTCATTTTATGAAAATAATATTTAGAACTACACAGAAGCACAAATAAAAACAAAGACGGCATGCAGAGAAATAAGAAAAATTTCATAACAGCAGATTAAATCCTTAACGAAATTGTTACAAATTAATAAAATTTTACTTCTTTGTCATTTAATCTCTAAAAATTGACAACTTTGATTTAATCCTGACCTCTTCATCTCTCATTGATGAGAAACTTGAGGGACACTTTCTGAGGAGTTCTTATATTACAGAAAATGGAATATAGTATCATTAATTCAGATTAAGATTTAGAATAATATTAATTCAGACTAACATTTACAGTAACATACACAAATGACTTCACAGAAAGAGAACTCTGCTTCATAAATGGATATTTTCTGAAGAAGTACATTGAAGAAGTTTCCATTAATTATTAACATAATAACTCTGCTTCATAAATGGATATTTTCTGAAGAAGTACATTGAAGAAGTTTCCATTAATTATTAACATAATAATTAAGAATAGAATGTAAAGTCGTGAAGGCCAAGACATTGGTGCTTTGTTCTTTCTCCCGCATCTAGAACTGCTCTTAGCACATAGCAAGCCCTCAATAAATATCTGTCAAGTTAATACATAAATAAGTAATATTTCATTTATTAACTCTAGGGATATAAAGGAAAAGAAAATCAATACATCATCTTGCCCATCAGGGCCTCAAAATCTAATGGAGAACAGAGAGACATGGAGTTAATTTATACACTATATAATTTTATTAATATACATAATCAATAATATCAACATATTTAGAAATCTATTGTTTATATATTTTTATATAGTAGGAAAGAGTGTGATCATGTAGGAAAGAAGGAAAGATATGCATCCAGAGAGAGGAATTATACAAATTATACATAAAGAAGTGTATGATGTGTAACTAAATTAAAAGGTGGTTATTGTTGTTGTTAGGTGCCGTCGAGTCATTTCCGACTCATAGCAACCCCACGCACAGAAGAAC